AAAAAAAAAAAAAAAACCCATTTTGCTATTAAAAGAAACAATGATAAAACCGTTCTCCAATACAAAGGCAAAAACTAAGAAAAAACTACAATAACAAATCAACACCGACTCTTTGCTTCAGTGTTTGAGAAACAATGATAAAACCGTCCTCCCATACAAGATTCCCTTCTGTGCATCGGCAGGTTAATCATAGATAAGAACAGAACAACAGTTGCGTCACAAGAAACAACAAATTAATCATTTACAGAAAACCCTAGAATCCAAAACCCAGTATAGAAACTGGGTACAACACAAGAAAGTTGAAATCTTTTTGAAGCTTTCAGCAAGAACGTACTAGCGATAAAATTGAGGTTACAAACTTACAAATCAAGCTGGAGAATCGGTCGATTTAGAGTCGAATTTCGATGGAATAAAATTGAGAATGGCTCAAGGGAATGCCATTCATAGTAGTTGACCACTCTAACGACCAAATATAAAATGTTCCCGTCAGGCCAATATGGGAATGGCTTGCTTTATATTGGGCCGATAAAGCCAATAAATATAAAGAAATTTATCCCGCAAATGACTATTCGGTTGCAAATGACTATTCGGTTTTTATTGCAAAATGTACAAGATATAATCCCTCGAGGAGAAAATTACCTCACTCATCACTTCATGTTTTTCTATAGACAAAAATGGTATCCTAAAAATTTTAGTACATTTTTACACAATTGAATTGCTTTTAAACAATTATTTTTGTTTACAAATATTAATATCTTACTAAATTAAAGTTTTTTTTTAATTATGGTATAATGTTGATATTTTTACTTACCAAGTCAAACATTCCCATATTTTTAGTAACTCCTTTCTCTTTCCTAGTCATTATCCTTCGGAGAAGAAAGCTTCATTCTCTAACCGTCATTCTTCATCCTCTTGCTCTTTTATTTTAAATTAATTTTTTAATTCGTTCAATCCACAGGCGTTGGAAGAGCTTGCGGAACTCGTCCGGTGGGACCTGCCTTTTGGCGATGACGATTTCCAGCGTCTGGTGGTGGTGGTGGTTGTGGCGGCTCAATGGGGACCGGAGATTCTGGGGACAACGATCGTGACCTGGGCGTCGGAGGTGGATGGGGAAGGACGATCGACGGCGAAGGCGGCGGAGGAGGCGGAGTAGTCTTCATTATTATCAGAGAATTTCTTGTTGGCGAGGAGGTCCTCGTTTTCATTGAAGTGGTCAGGGGCGACGGGGTTGTTGTCGGAAGCCATCGGAGAATTTGGTGGTTAGGTTTTAGTTAAGCGGAGGACCAGACCAGACGGTATATATGTTGTATATAGATAGTATATTTATACTTTTTTGTTGTATATTGTTCAGGTATGTATACTGTATATTTCTTGTATATATACTTTTTATATTTTCGTATACACACTATTAAAGTGTGTATAGTTAGGATTGTTCGTATAAAGATCTGAATTGAAAATCATAAGGTTCAGCATGATCCTAGTTATATATACTGTTTATTGATTGTGGTGTTTTGCAAGGGCTGAGTCTGGGTAAAAGATTTGAATTGAAAATTATAAGGATCGATATGATCCTTGGTATATAAAATGTATATATATTGTTTATTGATTGTATTGCTTTTTTAAAAAAAAAAATTAGAGTATGTTTGTGGTATATATTAGGGGTGAGCGTGGGTCGGTACTGTTCAGAGGTTGATAAATCTCCAGAACCGTACCAAACTTCGGAGATCCCAAAATTCGATCTCCGGAACCGTACCAAAAATTCAGTTCGGTTCGGTTCGGAGATTTTTATTTTTCGGTTCGGTTCAGTTCGGTATTCGGGACTATTGGGACGGTTCGGTTCGGTATGGTTTGGTTCGGATCTTCGGGGATTTTATATTTTTTCAAATTATTTTTGAATGACTACCTAGTTATATTTTAATTATTATATGCTTTAAAAAAAACAGCATTCATCAATAATTCATCGTATTGAAGATTTTATTTTGAAATTAATTCTAGAAGTAACTCTAAATTTTAGTTATTTAATTTTCATATGCTTTAATAATACCAGCATTCATCAGTACTTCCTCACATTAAAGATTTTATTTTGAACTCAACTTTATAAGTAACTCTAAATTTTAATTATAACTAAATTTGTGCAACTAATATTGAAAATTTAAAATTTAAATAAAATATAATATTTTTTTCTTAAAAAAATATTCTTTAAACTTTCATATTATTTTAAATATTATTTTATAATAGAAAAAATTCAATTGTAGATCAAGTATTACTAAGCATGATTTAAGTGAAGGTTAATATTTATTATTATATTATATAGAATGAAAGTTGACATAAAATATATTAATAACACATCTAATGTTATAATTCGGTTCTTCATTTCAGTTCTTCCGGTTCGGTACAGTACGAGATGTTTCGGTTCGGTTCTCCGTACGGATATTTGTGAAATCTCCAAAATCGTACCAATTATTTTTTCGGTTCGGTTCGGTTCGGTGAAAGTCAAACGGTAAACGGTTATTTTTCGATTCGGAATGATTTCGGTTCGGTTTTCGGAACGGTTCAGAGTTCTCCGAGTCACATGCTCATCCCTAGTATATATTATGTATATATGCATTATATTTATCCGAACCTAATACTTCTTTTGTTGTTTGTCTGGTAGAATTTAAACTCGATTTTTTTTTTTTT